ATGTTTTCAGGAACTCAGAACTGTTAAGTTTCATTCCCACATGAGGTTGGTCCTTCATCTGACCCCTCTTCCTTATTCGCACGCAGAGGGGAGATAAGCGCTCAACTGCCATAGGCCAGCTCGTCGTTGTGCCTTCTTCATGCATGCGGGGAAGCTTCCCACTGATCAATCGATGGAGGTTTTGATGATGAATTTAAGTGCACTCTCTTCCATTATCTCATGATTCAAAGTACTTCGCCAACCGCTTGATCAACATCATTGACGCAGCCTTCTTCCTCATACGGCATCAGATGCACATGTATCTACTGATCACTGCGTTTGGTTCAAATTTCATGACGATTGTGCTTCGGTACACACCAAGTCGGGTCTATCATGGCGCCAACGGTTGCAGAAACTGCCCTCAAAACCATTGCCTCGTTTGAAGAGTTACTGAAAACATGGGGTCGCTACAATGTCAGACCTTCTGTCGAGGCCGAGCTTCCGAGTTTCAGGAACAATCTGGCTCGATTGAAAGCATGGCACGCAGATTTAGCCGCTCACGGCGTCGCCGAATTGGACAAAGGCTATATAGACTACGGTCTACGCAGCGCGTCTCATATCCATCGCCAACTCCTTAAACTCCTAAACGGCCTTCAGGACTTGATCAGAGATGCCGAAAGCATAATCACCGGGACAAAGGTCCCATGGGATGAACTATACTCCGAAGAAGACCACCAGGATGATTATGTGGAAGAGCTACAGACAGAATTTCGACAGATTGCGAAAGAGGTTTGTGGAATTGTCGACTGTCTTCTAAGACTCCGTGTAGCCACTAAGGACCCCGCTCCCCACGATCGTATCATATCCTCCAAACATAGGGGCAGCCCAAGCGACGAGTCTTTTGATATAGATCTTGTCCGAAAGCTATGGGGTGGGATCGAGGGCTTTCTAGCTGAGCGCCTGGGCAAGTCAGTGTCCCGAAGAAGAGAGACACTGAGGCTGAGAAACAGCAATCAATCATCCTCGGCAGATTTGGCTCCATCTGCCAATCAGCAAAAGCCAGACTTGAGTCAATATAACGAAGAAACACCAAAAGAGTGGTCCCGAAGCGATACGGAATCTTCCAAAGCTTCAGCGAGAACAAGTCCAGACCAAGACCCTGCCTTGTTTAGGAATCCTTACGATACCTTGAACATGGTTGAATTTGAGGTCAAGAATATGCTTAACGGGTCGAAATTGGGTATATTTCAGTGCCCATACTGCAACACGGAGCTTATGTTAGGTCCCAGAGACCATGAAAGATGGATGTAAGTCGATCGACTTCATTACTACCAGAACAACCTTACCGGCTATGTAAATTGAATCAAGGCTGACCCAGAAACCCAAGATCACATGTGTTCAACGACCTGCAGTCATACATTTGCGTGTCTCCTGACTGCCTAATCCCAACTCAACAGTACTCGACAGAAGCTCGATGGATGCAACACATGCTAGGAAACCATTTAAGAACATATCGATGCCCGTTAGGTTGCGAGGAGACTTACCTAGACACGACTGCGTCAGCTACCCATGTTATTCAACAGCATCCGGATACAATCCCCCCAAGTCAACTAGATACCTTGGTCAGTCTCAGTTCTAGTCCAATGACAGATAAAACACCAACAGCATGTCCCTTTTGCTTAGAAATCATGAATTCTCCAGCGCAGTACCAATCTCATGTCGGCAACCACCAAAGAAAAGTGGCCCTGATCATTCTGCTAGGGGATGAGAGCCGATTGAAGATGCGCGTGAAGCCACAGCGACGTCGGGTAAAGAGTGAATGGATACGCGAACAAAAAAAGAGAAGAGCTCGTGATGAGTCAAGGCAGCGCCAAGCCCGCGAGGCTCGCGAGGCCGCAGAAGAGAAGTGCGGTGAGCGGCGAGATGGCGAAAGCCAACAGGATTATGAGAAGCGCATGAAGAATCGATGGCAGATTCTGTGGCAAGGTCGTGGCATGGTAACTGGATATCAATTCGCCAGATCTATCTCTGAGGCTAGCGAGGGCCAGGAGGGCAAGGCAACAAGGGGTGAGGGGGAAGGCCAAGTGTCTCCTCAGCACCCATCCGATTCATCCACTTCGCCCCCGCTGGAAAGGAAATGGGACCGCTCCTCGAGGGACGGTGGTAATCGCCGGTGAATTGGGGAGTCTGACGAGATCACAGTTCGTATGGCACGCATGCTCGCGATGATTTCTACTCATCGGACGAACAGGGGTGAAGCGATTCCGGAGTCGCAAAATTTTGATCAGTCGCACTGATGTTGATGAGCAATAGAGATGTTGCAGTAACCTCACAACGCTCGTCGAATCTGTACGTCCCAGCCGGTTCTGAAAAGAACGCGGTACTATCACCTGACAGAAGACAATGAAACTCTTTTCAATGTTAGATGTCATTCGGGAAGAAAACGCGACCTTGTTATTGCTGAGGTTTAACAGTGTCGCTGTGCTCCTTTGTTCGTCATCTGGGATAATAGCATATAAGTCTGCCTACTTTATTTAACAACTCTCTGATGAATTGAAAAGATGTGAGTACATTTCAGACACAGCCTGACCATGGAATTCCCGCGCCGTCCCTCCGAGCTGAAAGCAGACAGTGTAGCGAGTCTCGTATCGAAAGCAGAAGCTCTGTTCTCTGACGTGTCGTAGACTTACAAAGTTGGACCCCTCAAGGTCTTCTTGCATGGCCTTTTTCACACCGGATTCAAACTTAGGGATGAGCAGGCTAGATTCAAAGTCTGCCCGCAGAGTGACTGACTTGAGTGCAAAGATTACGAGATGTCGCGCTCCTTCCGTAAACAGCGACTGGACAAGGACCTCAAGACTTGAATTGAATAACTAGTCTGTGGAACTTTCATTCTCATCATCTCACTAGTCATGTATGCATTAAAGAGACTCCTTACGGGCAAGGTGCAAAATCCATCTTAACATTGTAACACATCCAACCGGGGTAAAGCCCGTAAATCATAGGGTGGAAGCCGCCAGGTCAGCTTCCAACGGCGCGACTATCTTCTCATATACGTCTTGTCGGAAAGCCTCATCGTTGAAATCCAGCTTGGACCGTCCAAACCCCGCGCCTATACATCGCTGGACCGCGGACACAAAGTATTCGCTATCTGCAGGCATCTCTTGCAATAATCTCTGCGCGACGAGCGCATCATAGTCAAAGTTGCGGGTCCCGTCTCCCGACATCTCGTACCGGTGTCGCAGTCTTTCGATAGTAGTGCCTAGCTTGAGCTCTAAGAGAAGGATTCCAAGCGAAAGCAGTGCGGGATTGCAGGCATCAGAATTCAAGGAAACATCCTCCCTAGCCTTTTCGGGAAATTCTTTCATGATGAAGGCCTGCCTATAATCAAGCAAAGACTGTGATTCGTTTTTGATGAAGAAGACGTCTTGGTTTGTCAGAATATTTGGTAGCCAAGGAGTTTGGTGAAGTTGGAGGAAACTTGAAGAGATCATCTTAGCCAGATGAAGTTTAGCCACGTAGGGTATTCCTATGCTGAGGGGGTCTTCCAGAATCTGTTTCAGCGACATCGCGGACCTCACATGTTGATTACTTGGTTGTGCCTTTGGGTATACGGCGAACTTCCAAGACTTCCCCGCGCTCTGATGAGATATCGTGCCATAAATATCCGTAGCGGCTTTTTCATGACCTCTTCGTAGCTCTGCACACAAGTTGACTTGTCTGGTGAGATTGATCGACCTGGAACTGAGATTAAGAGCAGGCATTGTGCTCATCGTCGCTCTTGCGATGGTCGGCTGTTCGATGCAAGTCGTAGTAATCGTTGATTGTCGCGATGAAGCAAAGCTTACGACTTTTCGCTTCGGTCGAGCAGGCGATTGGGGCGTTGGTGTTGTCTCCAATGTGTAGGTGGCTTGTGGTGCGGAGGCTCTGACGGTGACTTCTTCCCAGAGGTTTTGTTGACCAGGTTTCTCGGAAGTCGCTCGGCCGGTGTCGGTTTGATATGTCATGGCGAGTTGGAGCCCAATTTTCTCGATTATCGCAGCATCGTCCAGATCGTGGGTGGCATCCTCGGAATCGGGCGTGAGGTCCAGGTGGACTTGATGCCTGCAATCGCAGTCGCAGGATATGCTATTCCTCAGTGCAAAGTACATGTTTGCAGATACTTGACGTATCAAGCCAACCAGCCTTCCTTTGTATCGTTGTTTTCGGGCTGGTTCCATGTGTATGTTCGTATCGATTATGGACTCCAGGACCGTGATGTCTTTCCGGATAGTATCAATCGCATACTTGTATGTGGACTTGTTTAGAGCAAAGCTTGCGCGCTTGAACTCCTTTATTATTGTAGACTCCTCAGTCCATTTCGCCTTTCTTGAAGTTAGCGAATGTGGTATTTGGCTGTGAGCGAGAGCATTTCTCAACTTTTCCTTGAGCGTCAAGCCCGAGACATTGCTTGATATCATTAATGGCTGCTTCCATATCTTCCATGACATGTTGAAACGTGTCAAACGATCTGTAAAGTCGCGTCTTGATCTTTCTCTGCACTCCTTCTTGTTTCCATAGCGGACCGAATGGGTCTTCAATCATAAGCTCGAAATCGTTTGGCGATACCAGACAGGAGAGAAGCTTCTCGCAGACGTACTGAAGTCTGATATGCTCTGTCATCAGGTTCCTAATTAGGCCCCTCACCTCACGGTCATAATTGCGCCAGGTCCTCGTTGTCGCAATGACTCTCTTGTAGTCGTCGAAAGCCTTGGTAATGAGGGGAATGCTGCCTAGGACGAGACCGGCTATCTCGAAGCCAGACATGCTCGATTCGGCACTAATGGTGAGGATTTGTGTGGAAGTTTTGGAGTTTGCTGAGCAGGAAGTGGAAGAGAAGTGACGGGTCACAGTGCCGCAGTTGGCCCGGAAGCGCACCTCCATGGGATTGGCCAGCCTGATCAACACAGCATGATTTCATTGATTCATGCATAAGGCGGGGTCGTAATTTTCTCAAAGGTTAGGGACTTCCTATCTCTGTTGCCAAATATCTCATTCGATTGGGAACGTGACCCTAAGCGCTGCCGTGGAACATGCGCTCAGAGTCACGGCGCACATCCGCTCGTTGTCCTCCCGAACAAAGAAGAATGAACAATCACCCAACGCCTGCTACAGTAGTATGTTATAAATTGAATTCCCATAAATATCAGTCAGATGTAGCGTCTCTAAACTGATTCAACCTTCATCTTCCAAAATCAAATCCTTCATCTACGAGAAATGGCGCCCGTCATCAAGCACAATATGGTGGACAGTATCGCGAACTTGGTGTTGAAGGCGAAAGCTCAATTCTCCAATCTGCTGCAAATCGCCCAGGGCTCATCATCTCATCCTTCACCTCTGAAAATTGTCCGAAAGCTTGAGGATGAGCAGGTTAGGTTCAAAGTTTGGGCTGGAAACGTTGGCGCGCACAAAACCGACCGCTCCTCCCTTGAGTATCGACTCCGCGATACGTCGCAGTTAAGACTTCTTGTTCGGAAGCTCCTGACGGAACTTATCGAAAACATTGATGATGCTATCAAGGCTTTCAAGGACATGGAATCGCCACCAAGCACGCTCGATGGTAGCAGCCAGAGCCATGAGGACATAGTCGCAGAGCTTGACGCAATCATGGAAGTCTTTCCTGATATCATCAATTGTCTCATGCGACTCGTTATCATGATTCAGAACCCAACGCGATCGGACCGCTTCAGTGGAGCGAAGCTTACAGACACCACGGAGTATGAGCATTACGATATCCAACACGTGAGCGCAAAATTCGAGGGAATTGATGATCAGCTTGCGCAGCTCCTAGGAAAGGCAAACTCGAGGCGGCGTCAGTACTTCAAGTATAGGGAGGCTCATCACAAGAAGCTTTCGCATCTCATGGATGACCAGGCAGATACCAACAGGACGGAGATCCTACAGAGCACAGTGGCATCTTCTATCCCCGATTACTTGAAGCAACTTTCGCAGATTGATAAGTATGATGAATCTTTTTCAAGAGAAGAGATGGCTTCCGTGACCTCGTACGAAGCTTCATCCATAGGTGACCCACAAGCAAGATCAATCCCAGATCTTCCAAAGGAAGCATATGACGGACCATTTGAATGCCAATTTTGCTTCATGCTCGTGGAGATAAGAGACACTCATGCTTGGAGGTAGTTCACCATCCCATCACATACGTTAACTTTACCTTAGCTAACCTCCATCCCTAGACAACATGTATACGACGACCTACGTCCGTACAACTGCCTGGCCGAAGACTGCATTACGCCAGGTAGAGAGTTCGGCAAGAGACATCAGTGGATGGAACACATGCTGCAGCGTCACTTAAGGGTATGGCGATGCCCTTTCGATTGCGACCGTACCTTCAATTCTGCGTCTCAGTCTGCAGCACACTTGGAGACACAACATCGGAAGATGGTACGCGACGACCAGATCGACAACCTAGTTATGCTGAGTTCTCAACCCTTGGATGAGGGCGCGAAAGTTCCTTGTCCACTTTGTTTCGAGACCATGTCATCGCTGCAGAACTACCAACGTCATGTTGGTAAGCATCAACGGCAGCTAGCCTTGTTTGCCCTTCCCATCAACAATGATTCGGATGAAGATACCTCAAAGATTGGCAAGGCTACGGAGGAAAACTCAGGTTTTGACTCAAACACTGATTACTCAGAGAATGAGGACGAGCTAGAGCCTGAACTCTCGGCCGCGGAAAATTGGGAGCAACAGGTCGAAACGCCGCCAGAAGAACAGCGTGGGCACCAGCCAGCCCCATCAACCTCGAGTAGTCGAGCTTCATCACCTGTCAGAATGAACGAATACTTCGTGCCACAAGACGGCATAGATCGGGAGGTCATCACTACTGATGTCCGCCACCATCTCGGAGACGACGCCTCAGTGAGCCCTGGACATTATGAAGTAAGAAACCCCTTCGATAACCCCGAAAGCTTCATATTCGCGTTGCAGAACTAATTCTGAGGAAATCTTAAAGAACCCTCAAACGGGGCAGGTTACCCAGGGCTACCACATCACATCCTCCAGCAACTTAACAAACGTATGTCAGGTGAACAGATTGATCGGATCCCCCTATACTAATGATATTGTAGGACATGATTGACGATTTGAAGGCTGACTCTGCACGATGGGGAGCGGAGAGGCAGCGGCGAGCAGCACAAAGTCCTGCAGGTATGAGCAGTGGTAGGAAACCTGAATATCTGGAACGAGCTCACGCGTTTGCAGCCGAAACCTCGTCGCCTGATGGATCCCTTTCTTATCCCAAGCAATACTCCGGCCTTCCAGCGCCTGAGTATCAGACCGAGATAGAACAAGAAGCGTACAGCAAGGCGAAAGATTATTCCACGTCCGCGTTGATGCAAAAATATATAGAGGACACAGATGATCTTCAAGATCGGCTCAATACCGGAAGTCGAGATATCGAACAACAGCAAACTGAGGATATATTGCTTCTTCCGCCTCTTCGACCAAGAGTTATAATGGCATCCGGAAGTAAGCCAGTCCATCGCAAGGTCAAGCCCATTCAAGGCGATGCCGTCTTAGTGGACCACCTCGGAAACGGCACACAGCCAGATGTCGCCCAGGCCGACGCTCTAGAACCCCTAAACTCCAATAACAAGCCCGTCAAGTCGATTCCGGCAGCCTGGCTTCATGATGAGAGCGGCGCAGACGACAATTTGATGCGAGACTTCACCCCTAGGTACCCTCGACCTTTTGCAGGAAAAAGCGGGGTTTCCCGAGAAGAAGCGTACGAAGAGGCGGAACATGACGACCGGCATCGCAGAACAACTCTTGGTTTCTTGGACCTTGCCCAACGGAAGTAGGTGAGCTTTGGGATATAAAAGCAAGCAGGAAGCCCTGTGACTCAGACAGGTTCTGGACGACATGTTGATGTCTCTCAATACCCATGGCGCCTAGATAAGTAGATAGTTAGGTGATTCGTATGCAGGACAAGTCAGCATAATTAGACAACTCTTCTTCCGTCTTCCGACAAATCGGGGCCGCACAAGTCGGTCAACCCGGATTCTACATTGATGGCTATGAGTTACACCATCAACTATCATATACTTAAGCGCGTCATCGATTTGTCTGGGGGCCAGAAGGGCCGAACAGGCTTTAAGTGATTGTTCCTGCTAGCTTATTGTGCTTAAGAAGGCCATTAAGTCGTCAGTATGGAAAATGCCTGTCTCTTAGCAGGCACTATGGGGGATGCGGCGAGGATGTCATCCACGTAATCGCCCCGGGCTGCCTTTGGCGTCAAGCGTATCAAACTGACCTTTCATCCAGTGTTGGTAGCGTAGGGTAGGCAGACCGGCTCCATTAAAAAAACCAAACAGAAAGCCTCATGGCCAGATGATAAGACCAATCAAGTTAAAAATCTCGACAAAGAGTACTTTTCATTAAGTCCCCCAACGATATCACCTTCCACCCCTTAACAGGAGCTTCTTCAACTGCACGGAGACGACTGGGACCACGATGCCTCCCGACGCCACCCCTAGTAGTTTTGCCATGCAATATTGGAAAAAAGGGCAACACTGTCAGAACCAAAAACCCAGAGATGACAGCAACACTGATATTGATGAGCCATAGAGCTATTGCAGTGGCCTCACGATGATCAAATATTGTCTATGGGTGTATAATGTTATCGCAAATCTTCCAGCTTCAGCAATTCGATCAAATAACCCAGTTACTTCGAGTTCAATACCTATCTACCGCCTTTCTCAGGCAGTTTCAATGTTGGGGCTCTGGGAAATCATGGACTGCAGAGGTATCATGTCTTTCTAAATGGTCTAGACGCGTTCTTATTCGTGGCTGGAAGCATTGAGAGCAGAGTTGCAAGCTTAAAAAACCCTTGTAATCGTCAACTCTTCAGTCCACCTGGCCTCTCTTGAAGTCACATGTAACGAACAGGAGAACTTGACTTAGAAGGTGAGATTTTGCCCACTTTTCTTCAAGTATCAAGGCCAAGACGTCTCTTGAACCAGTTGGTGCTTGACATTACGTGCTGAAACGTGTCCGACGACTGGGAGAGAAGCGACGAGAAACAGCATCGTGGAATTCGCAAGTCTGAAGTCCACACCGCCGACTGGCTTTTTTGTGCATGAAGCGGGATCTTCGTTTGCCCAAAGAAAATGAAAGTCTGTTCAGTGTCACACGTGTGATTGAGGAAGGAAACGTGACCTCGTTGCCGCTGAACCTGAACAGCGTCGTGGATGTTTGCTCCTTTGTTCGTCATGTGGGACGCTGGCATATAAATCCGCGTCGCCAGCGTCAATCTCTGATGGCTTGGAAAAAAGCATCAACAGCAATCAGATACAGCCTTACCGGCCTACTACAGCCTTCATATTCACGCTGTCTCATCGAGAGGATGGTAGAAACTATCGCGAGTCTCGTATCGAGAGCGGAAGCTCAATTCTCTTACCTGCTAAACAATGACCTAAGCCCTGACACTGGTCTCTTGGTTTTCAAATTTCCCAAAGCTAGACCAACGCTTGAGGATGAGCAAGCTAATCTCAAGGCCTGGGCTAAAGTACATGAGATACACGATACCAACAGCCTTTCCCTCGAATGCCAGCTCCGCAATAATTCAAAATTCAGAGACTTTATTCGTCAGCTCTTGAAAAGCCTCCTTGACATCCTTGAGAGAATCAGAAAGGCTTTCAAGGATCTGCGGTCGGCATCAGGTACGTTGAATGATTGCAGCTCGAATCAAGAAGAAATCGTCTCATATTTTACTTAGACTTGATGGTGGACGATGATCCCGATATTTCCGCAGACATAGAAGTATTCGTAGAACGAATTCCTGACATCGTCAACTGTCTTATGAGACTTAACGACACGATTAAGGATCCAGGAGAAATGGACCGATACCTTAGCTATCATACAGATACCTCTGCATTTGAGGCATTAGCGACCCAGCACGTAGTCGACAAGTTCGAGGGTATCCAAGCTTATCTTGCACGGCGACTAGGGAAGGCTATATCGAGGCGGCGTCAGCATATCGAGTACAGGAAGGCTCATCAAGAGAGGCTTTTGCAATGTGTAGATGGCTAGATGGGTCACAACATGATGGAGGAGGTCCCACAAGATCCTGCGGCATCCTTCATTCCAGATCACCTGAACCAAGTCTCACAGACCAACATCTACCAGGACTCATCTTCAGAGGACGCTATCGGTTCAGTAACCTCCCAAAACTCCACGTCTACAGGGGCCCAGCGGTCGACGTCGATCCTAGACATGCCGAACGAGGGACTCGGCGGGCCATTCGTATGCCAAGTTTGCTATACACTCGTTGATATTCGAGACGATGTTACGTGGAGGTAACTGAAGTAGCCTCTGGAAACTCGATTGCCGCTGCTAATCATTCTCAGACAACACGTGTACGAAGACCTGCAGCCGTACAATTGCTTGGAAGAAGACTGCGAGACGGCAGGCTGGAATCTCGCTACAAGCAGAAAGTGGATGCAACACATGCGCAAAAATCACTTCAGAGTGTTTTATTGCATATTTGAATGCGGTTGCACATTCTCGTCAGCATCGGAGTGCAGCACGCATTTGAAAACAAAGCATTCAGATGATCTATCTTACTTTTCTGACGGCTACACCGACAGCATGATCAGGTCTTTTCCCATGGACGATGAAGTGGAACTCTCGTGCCCTTTTTGCTTCGATAAGATGCCCTTGATGGATTACGAATACCATGTTGGGAAGCACCAACGGGAGCTGGCACTGTTCGCCATTCCTAACATTGATGATTGGACTGAGGACAAAGAAAAGCTCAAGTGGTGGTCTACACTATGGACTGAGGATAGTCTTTCGTGGTACAAGGATCACGCGAGAATTGCGATAACGAGCCTCGGGCTTAAGAAAGTTTCAGAGTTCCTATTCGGCTCTGAGCCTGGGTATTTGGGCGATACGAAGTAGTCTTATAGCCAGTCAGCGGTGGCCGCTCTCGACAGAGACTCCTATCCTCACGCCCCGGCGAGCTGACAGAAGAGAGAGCTAGATGTTAATGCTTGAGAATTGTCGTGATTAAGACGGTTTGAACTTGGCACTGATGCTGATTGGCGACAACTATCGAGAAGCTGACATGCGAATGCGGTGACTGGAACAACGGTTTCGTTGGCCGTCTCTGAAAGGCGTTGTTTGTTTCGACAGGAGAAAACGTAAGGGGTCCGCAATGGCTGACGCCAACCACAACTTTATCTGGGGCGGGTATCGCATAGATCAAGCGGGCAAGCGCTGTGCGAGAGAATCGAACATGAAGGCCTTAGCACAGACGATAGACTCCTGATAAATACCAATCTCGACAAAGAGTACTTTTCATTAAGTCCCCCAACGACATCGCCTCTCACCACCCAAAAGGGGCTTCCTCAACTACCTCAACATGGAAACGACTGCTACCACGATGCCTCCCGACGCCACCCCTAGTAGCTTTGCCATGCAGATATAAAAAAGGGAACACTTTCAGAACCGAAAACCAAGAGATGACAGCAAGGCAAACAAGAAAGGGGTACGAAAAAGGCAAAAAGTGTTGTGGGGTATGTGTCATTACGAAGAAAGTGATTTTGGTTTCTGTGAAAATGTGTATTACAACGGTGGTGTGGACTGCCTCCCTTTTTTTGCGCTATGTAACCAGAATGTTGCTAAATGCGTCCGATATTTCGGATGGTGTTGGGGCTTGGAACTTTTCTTGCGTGAAGCCAGCAGCTAGACGGTCCTGCATAACCTTGAGGAGGACAGCAGGGACGCTCTCGTCTGTGGCGCGGATCGTGAGACGGATCATCTAGGCAGAGTCAGTAATCGTTACTAGTATGATACCAGGGGTACAAACAAACCTTGGTTCCGTAGTTCGGCTCAAGACGCATCAAGCAACCAAATTTGCCAGCCTCTGAGGTGTGCAGGACACTGGCACCCACGAAGTTCTTCGCGTTGGGGTCGACACCGTCAAGGACACGCCATCTGAAGCCCTCGACCGTCTGGCGTACAAAGAATTCGTTCAACTCTCTATCCGACTTGCCAGGAGACAGACCAAAGATCGCTTGGGCCTCACGTGGGGCACCGCCGATCTGCTTCCATCGCCTGAAGAAGTCATCGGCGGAGAGATCTGCGGGATCCATGAACTTGTGTGCGGTAAGAGGGAGCTTGAGGGTGACAGCCTGCAAAGCACCAGCAAGGTAGCTGATACGTATCGTCGGGCTCTTGTCAAACACCTTCTTTGACTCGAACATGATGACCTGCTGAGACTGCCCATTCTGATAGATCGTGCTCTCCGGGAGGTTCTTCACGTCCCATGTCAGCTTGCCCTTTTCGTTTTCGTCAAGATCCAGTGTTGTGGTGAACGACCCCAGTGCTGTAGGGGTCTTGTTCTTGAAGTACAGGATGAGACACGCCATCTGTCCTCTGTACTCGGAACGCACACCGACTTGGAGTTGTCCATCCTCATACAACACGCCCTCACCCTTCAGCAGGAGCTTGTTGTATCCAACCTCCCAGTTAGGAGACAAGTGGGCGGCACTGGCCAGGTTTGGTGCCTTCGTCTTGGGTTCGGCAGGTCCGAGGTTGTTCATGTCCAAGCCGGCCAGATCATTCACACCGTTGCCGTGGCCATTTGTTCCGTTCGTGCCTCCATTGGCCGCGTGATGGCCATTTGTATTTGTGCTGAAGGTCCTCTTGAGGCCACCCTCCTTGGCCATCTTCATCTCTGCCACATCTGCATTCGCATCCTTGCCACCGACAATCCAAGTTCTCTTATCGCTAGTGTTGGCATGCTTCTGATGCACTCTGGCAAGCAGTGCGGATTGTCGTTCGGAGAATGGTGGCATTTCGTCGCATACAGTGCGGAGAAGGTCGTCTGTCGGCAGTGTGGCGAGCGTCAGGTACTCGCATGCTCTTTGCTGAAGCTCAGAGTCGAGCGTGTGGCTGAAGACCTGGAATGCCTTGAGAAGCTGGGGCTTGATTTCGGGGAAGAGGTTGACAAATTTGACGTAACATGAGAGGATCATGGCTCTTGTACTTGATGAGCAGGCGGCGACCTTGCTCTGAAGAGCCATGAACTGCTCAATGGGGCTGCACTTGGGCTGGTCGGCGATGAGATGGCCGAATTCGCCCAAGATGTAAGCTCCGATCTTTACCAGAGTCTCGTGGCAGTGATCCGACTTGACGTACTGCAAGGAGTGCTGAGCCGCATAAACCTGCAGCTCCTCGTTGTTCGTCACAATCTGAATGACACGCTGCCACACCTCATCGCTGACATGATCACCAGCCATAGCAATCAAACGCAGCGAAATGTCCACGTACCACTGAACGTCAGTGGCATATCGCTCAGTCAAGATAGCAATCTTCAGCACCATCTCCTCTCTTATGGCGAAATCGGCGTTCTGGAGGTAGTGGAGAAGTTCGCCGACAATAACTTGGGCATTGGACGAGTCGCACATGCTGTAGAGAAGGTCGAGACCTTTCCTCCGCACGCTGATATCTCTGTCCTTAAGTGAGCCAAGAATGACGTCCTGGTGCTGCTTGATCGGTTCCAGGGTCTCGATGCGGGCTGCCAAATGCGTCATCGCCTCCAAACCCAAGTAACGAACGTTGGTTTCTCTTGAGGTCAAGAATCGGCCCAGACGAGATGAGATCTGCTTCAATAGGGCTTGCTCGTTGTCCAAGTGAATGATGAGGTTAATGGCTTCGAAGAGCACGGCGTTCTGTGCATTGTTCTGCTGGACGTTCTTCGTTTGCTCCATCGCGAGGTTCAGAATCTTCTGCAACGACTCTCGGATCATCTCGCGGACGTGAGTGTCATCTAAGGCGATTAGCATGTGCTAGCTGGACTGTTTCTCATGTGTAACTCACCTGAAGGAGGGAAGTACTGCAGTAGACGCAGAAGCTTGACCTGGAGCCAGGGGCAAGGGACCTTGTAGTAAAGGTAGTCCGGAGTGTACTCCCCGTCAATGACTATCCTCTTAATCCTTGCTGTGGCCTTCGCATACGCCCCCTTGTACGCATTTGCATTATCCTGGGCAAGGGCCATGACAAGAGACGTGACAGACAGAGCTACACCGACATCTACGTCATCCAAAAGCGATATTATGCGCTCGGCCCATTGCGGCTGGACAATATCGGGGTTCTTGCGGTATAGACGGAGGAGCGTGAGTGAGGCCTTCTTCTTCACGAACGCCTTGGATGTTCTGGGTCGCTGCTGTTAGTCACTGGCCTGATACTCAGGGGTCAACCAAACGTACGGCGAAATCAGAAGCCTGTGAACCTCTCCGCTCAGGGCCTCTCCCATTTCTCTGCCACCGACGTTGGCAATTGCGTGGAGAGCCAGACAGTTGAACAGCTCATTGTGGTCCAGCAGGTCCTTCCTTATACTGTTGACGACCAGGTGCAGCAGCTCATGCTTCTCGTGGAGAAACAGGGTCATGGCGAGGTATCCAATCTGCTTCTCCGAGTACTTGTTCGCCGAGATGAGGTTGACGGCCTCGAGGTGGCCAAAGTCGACGTTCCATCCGAGGATGTAGATGTAGAGGAGCTTTATGGATTGTCAGCACGAAACACCAGCCAATGCAGCTCAGGACAGTCCGTACCTTGCACACGTATTTCTTCTTGTGATAACCGCTCAGGTTGCCATCTGCAAAGGGGTTAGCACAACAAGATCGCGCCGACCGACCGCCACCACGGATTCGTACCCTTGAACTTTTGTCTACACGTGGGAACTCTTGTTAGTACTCCGTCGCAAGACAGCGTAGTATGACATGCCGGGAGGTGCGTGCTCACCGAATGTTGGCCAGCTCCTTGTTGATTCTCTTCTCTTCCAGCTCCCTAGCTCTTGCGTTTCTCAGGTCGGCAATGAATTGCACCAGCCCTCGCATGTTCGAGTTGTTGCTCGTCGAGCGGCCGAGGAAGCCGCTCGCGGAGGACGACATGGCTGCGGTGGTTGCCGGGTTTGACGGGTAATCTGTTTAAAGCTGTCTCCTCTGCCCTCTGAAATGCCTTCCCCCCTTCTGCGCGGGATGAACGGTGTTGAGCTGGAGGATGTTGTTGGACTCGCTACGGGAGTTTCGTAATCGAGCGGCGCGGGTGTGGAATCGATGGACGGTGTGTATTTGGCGTCGGGTCGTATGTTGTTGTCTGCTCCGGTGCGAGCGTTGGGCAATCACTCCATACGCGCGCGAGGGGTCCTTTCTTTTCGTATTTCTGCTCGCTTACCCCAGCTGGCCACTGATTGCTGCGTGGAGTTTTGGGGGAGATCAACGGTCGGATCGGTGGACGGCGGGATTGTGGACTCGGCGACTCGAACTCGAAACCGGCCGGCAAGTGCCGCTGCGTGTCTTAGCAATGCGTTCCCGTTGAGTAATGAAGACGCAACCAGGGGGTTATCGACAATGGACAGAAGCTGATGGTTGACTCGAGATTGAGTTCGGCCTTGTAAGGATTTCGGTGTCGATTCGCGATGTTGCACTGGGCGAAAGTGGGAAATGGGAAACGAAACTCCAAGGAAAGGGGTTCGAGGGGCTTTCGCGGGCTTGGGAGAAAACGACACTTTAGAGAAGCCCGGAAGGCTTGGGATTGGGAATGCAGCCAATGTGTGGAGATGGGCCACCTGCACATTGGACATCTGAACGGGCCCGTCAAACCACTCCGAGGTACCTCTGCTTGTACTTCTTTACAGGCGATGTACCTCTCACATCAGCGACAGCATCCTGGATGTCTACAACACGCAACACGGGCATCAATAGCTGCTGCGAGTTGGACGTCAGGACCGTCAGGTAAGTGTCCCAGCGCCTATCAGGTGCTTGCTTGTCACACTTGTCCCCCATAGACTGGGCTCTTCACGGGCGGCCTTGCTGTGCGCGCAGTGTGCCCGCTGCTTGAAGACTGGGCGCGTCAGGGGTGTTGCAAGGTACTTCCATCGACCTATTTCTCAAGCCATTGAACATGCTCCCCATTGCTGACTGATGAATTTGGGGAGAGGGAAACTCAAGAGGGGACTTTGACCGGGGGGCACGCACGCTACGGGCCCGTGCAGCAGCGACACCTTCCCCCCGTCAGAAAGGTACGTACATACAGCTACGCGCTAAACTCGTTAGGTTCCCGTCAATTGGCAAGCTCCAAAGTGTGCTGACAAGCCGAACCAAAGTGCTGCATCATCGAAGTTGCTGAAATTCCCATGCAGAGGGAAAGAGCTCCCCTCCCGTCTGTCAATCCATAATAAGAAAACCTTCTTTTGTTCAACAAAAACCCAAATCCTACCACATACCACAGCCGCTGCTGTCGTTTCTTTGTTCTCCTGCAGGATTGTCAATTCCTAGAAGTCACACAAACCTTTCTCCCCATGTCCGTCTCCGCGCTCCGGTGCAGATATGCGACGCCGGTGATGAACTCCACGATCAGACGGGTGGTGTGCCTCGCCGCCGCACCGAGCTCCCGGTTCTTCGCCGGAGCCCCCTCCACAACCACACGCCGGTCCTATGCTATAACATCCGGCGGCGGCTCTGCTGCCTTTCAGGTCTTCAACCGTCGCACAAAATGGCTGCAGAAGGAGCGCGTAGCATCGAATCCCGAGGCCAGCCGGCAAGCAGACTACCTCAAGGATGAAGTCGCAAACCGGCTGTGCGAGAGGTTACTGGTGAGAGCATCACCACCACCACAACCACCACAATTATGAACCCCCTTCCCCAGAACATTGCTTCACGGCAGACCTCGACTTGACAGCATTCACAATGGCCAATGCCTCTAGAGAGAAATCAGACACTAATACATTACTCTCCAACAGGACATCAAACGAAGCTTCCCCCGCGTCCTCGACCTAGGCGCAAACTCCTGCAACGTAGCCCGCGCCCTCACCCGCGAGAACCCAGACCCGGACCCCTCCAAACCAATCTCGGAACCCCTCGCCACCCGCATAGGCGAGCTCGTCGCCGCGGAGTCCTCCCACGCCCTCCTCCACCGCGACGCCGACCTACCCTTCAACAATGACATCTCCATCACCCGCACCGTCCTCGTCGACGAGGAACACGTCCCCTTCGAGCCCGCCTCCTTCGACCTCGTCCTCTCCTCCCTATCCCTACACTGGATCAATGACCTCCCCGGCGTCCTCACGCAGATCAACAACGTCCTCAAGCCCGACGCCCCCTTCATCGGCGCCATGCTCGGCGGCGACAGCCTCTTTGAGCTGCGCACTTCTCTTCAGCTCGCCGAGCAAGAGCGCCGCGGCGGCATATCCCCGCATGTGTCTCCCCTCGCCGACGTCCGCGACGTGGGCGGCCTGATGCAGCGCGCCGGCTTCAAAATGCTGACGGTCGACGTCGACGACATTGTCGTGGACTACCCCGACACCTTTGCGCTGATGCAGGACCTGCAGGCCATGGGCGAGGGCAACGCCATCCTCGGCAGGGAAATGGGCGCCATCAGGAGGGAGGTGCTGCTGGCCAACGAGGGCATCTACAGAGAGCTCCACGGCAACGAGGACGGGAGCATCCCCGCCACGTTTAGAATCATTTACATGATCGGGTGGCACGAGGGCGCCGACCAACCCACGGCGCTGCCGAGAGGAAGCGGTGACGTGAACCTCAAGGACATCTTAGAGTCCAATTAGACATGATGTCGCACCTGGCACATTTGTAAGAAATCAACTGTAAAACTTGTAAACCAGTCAAAACAAAAATATTCTATGGCTTTCATTCGTCGGCACGCCCAGTCTTTTTCTAGTTTGAATTCGTCAAAAAAAGACACGCCCAAAAGTCCCGAGCATGCCCATACTCGTCATGAAGTTCATTACACCCCCTTTTTTCTTTTATTCTTCCTCATCTGACCTGCACCTTAAACCCGTCTCCAATCCGTCATGACACGGCCAATAGTTCCCAACCCAGCCACGTCGACAACCTTCTCGTGCCAGCTAAGCAACACGCTCATCGCACTACCGACGTTCTCGTTGGTGGCTCCCGGGCGACCGCCCATCTGGCTGAACCCGCTCGGCGCAGCCTGCGGCGGCGGCGACCTCAGTCCCCCGGAGGCCGCGGAGCCGGCCATGCCCTTGTAGATGTACTTCATCAGCACGTCGAGGAGCTCGGGTCCGCCGGCGCCGCCGTAGATGGACTTGAGGAGGGGCGTCATCTCGGACGCCTTGATGGATTGGAGGACCTCGGTGATGGTCTGGAGGTGGGCATCCTGTTTGTGAGGTAACTCGATTAGCAACTTCTCGGGCTCCATTCAAATGTCAAGGTATCAAAAATCTCGGGGTCTTAAATCTCACCTTGGCGCCATCAGGTCCATTGTACACAGGAAACTCCAAACATCCCCTCAACGCCCCCTCAGCGTCCCCGCCGCGGAGCAACTGCCGCACCTGGCCCGCGAGCTGCCGGACCTCGTCCTCGCCAATCTCGGGCTGCGGCGGCCGCAGGGTGTTGGTGTCAAAGTTGCACGCCGAGTCCTCCTGCAGGGCGTCAATGTTGATGGTCCGCCAGGCGTCGCTGAGCGAGGCGGCGTTGAGCTCCCGGTGAATGGACATTGTGGGTATGGTCGCTCGCTACGCCGTATACGCAAAGGGGTCGGTTCGGGTATCGGTAGGTAAGGTTATGTTTACGGCAAGATTTCTATATGCCGTCGGTCGCTGGTGTGGTTGAAAGTAGGTAGCTTCGTCGGATTGCTCTGCGCAGGAACTCTCGTCTTGCGTCAGGTAAGGTCGGGGAGGTGAGGTAAGGTAAGGTAGCCGCATGCTCATGGTGGGGAGTTGGCTCGGTGTGGATGATGTGGGGTTCACTGAGGCGGTGCGTCTGGCTGACGACGTTGGTCCGTGCCATGGTTCATTCGTGCCAACCCGCTGCAGACTGGATCTTGGCCATCAAAAGCCTCCATGTCACTCATCGTGGGTCCATGCCGACTCATGTGTTCAGCACTCGTAGCCATCGCATTGTTCGTCGGAGAATGCAAATAGAAATAACGATTCTGTAAATGATGAATATCTCGCGCACATCGCCCGCAAACACAAGAACATCACTGAGACATGGCATGTGTAGAAACTAATAATTGCATGCCATTGTCTAGGTCCAAAAGTTGCCCCATCTCACACTCTCGTGCCCCCTCATACGTATACACAACGTCGACTGGTTGTCCTACTACGCTGCCGACTTCTCGGGAATATCAAGCACCCGCATTTGGCGTCCCCGCTTATGCGTCAATCAGGTTCTCCTCGTTTTGCTGCACCTGCTGTCTCTGCTTGCCCTTGTCCTTGGCCTCCTTGGCCGCACGCTGGTAGAACTCGTTGAGAACCTTGCCGGGAATACGGTTGAGCAAGTCCTTGGGGTAGAGACGGAGCAAGCTCCATGCGAGGTCGAGAGACTCGTAAATGGTGCGAGCCTCGTACTGGCCCTGGTTGATGAACTGGCGCTCAAACTTCTCGAGGAACTCCAGAGAAAGCTTGTCCTCAGCTGACAGAGCCTCCTCACCGACGACTGCCTTCATGGCAGCAGCGTCACGACCGATGGCGTACTTGGCGTAAAGCTGGTTGGAAACATCGCCGTGGTCCTTGCGGGTCATGCCCTCACCAATGGCAGACTTCATGAGACGAGACAGAGACGGCAGAACGTTGATGGGCGGGTAGATACCACGGTTGTAAAGGCCTCTGTCGACGAAGATCTGACCCTCCGTAATGTAACCCGTCAAGTCAGGAATGGGGTGAGTGATATCCTCGTTGGGCATGGTCAAAATGGGCACCTGGGTGATGGAACCGTTGCGACCCGCCACACGACCGGCGCGCTCGTAAATGGTGGACAAATCAGTGTACATGTAACCGGGGTAACCACGACGACCCGGGACTTCTTCACGGGCGGCTGAGACCTCACGAAGAGCGTCGCAGTAAGCGGACAGATCGGTAAGAATAACGAGAACGTGCTTCTCGAGCTGGTAGGCGTAGTATTCGGCGGTCGTAAGCGCGAGACGAGGAGTGATGATACGCTCGATACTGGTATGGTTGTCAGTCTGCGCATTCCTTTACGGTACATTCTGATATCAAAACTCACGTAGGATCGTTGGCAAGGTTAAGGAAGAGGGTGACACGCTCCAAAGAGCCGTTCTCCTCGAAATCGCGGGTGAAGAATCTGGCGGTTTCCAAGTTGACACCCATGGCACCGAAGACAATGGAGAAGTTCTCCTCGTGGCCGTCGTGGACGCCCTTGTTGGTGACACCCTGCTTCTGGACCAAACTGGCCTGTCTGCAAATCTGGGCGGCAATTTCGTTGTGCGGAAGACCAGACGAGGAGAAAATAGGAATCTTTTGTCCACGGGCGATGGAGTTCATGGTGTCGATGGCAGAGATACCGGTCGAGATCATCTCCTCGGGGTATTCCTACAGCGTGTCAGAACTCAAGACCATTATGTGATATTTGGGAGCGTCACATACACGGGAGAAGGGGTTAATGGGACTGCCGTTGATGTCGAGGTAGTCCTCAGCAAGGACCTTGGGGCCCTTGTCGATAGCTCGTCCGGAACCGTCGAAGATACGACCCAACATGTCCTCCGACACACCAAGCTTCAAGCTCTGGCCGGTGAACTCGACTTTCGTCTGGCTAGAGTTTTAGCGCTCGTCATATTTGTCGAGATGCGATGATCTCATACCTTCTTAACATCGATGCCTGATGTTCCCTCAAAGACCTGTTTCCATCGTCAATCGGTGTTTCTCGTGTGATCGCTCGTTTTCGCATACCTGGACGACGGCTCGGTCACCTATAGATGTTCGTTAGCACGCAGGTCATTGGGCAGAGAAGTGACGTTATGTAAATACCTCGAGCCTCGAGAACCTGACCCTGTCTGTTGGTTCCATCGGGCAGGGTCAGGGAGACAATCTCGTTGTATCTGGGGAATTTGACCTAGACGTAGAGTCAGCGCCTAAATCCTATAATTCGCTGGCGGCAACTCCAGCGCGACTGGGCGACGACGCACATTCTCGAGGATGACGAGGGGTCCGTTGACACCGCCGACGGTGTTGTACCGAATTCTCGGCACGATGGAGTAGGAGGGCTCCCGCGGGTCACTCATTGCTTCTGACTATCAGCGAGACAGCGCCGGATTAGAAGACAATGCGTGTTGGGTCGGAGGGGGGGCGATTAGGAAGGGCGTGGGCGGGCGGATTGATGGAGACGATGCGAGGCGCTGCGATGTACGTAGCTGGAGGAGGTTGGCAGGTCGGTGCAGTGTCGTCGAATGCACTGCACTGGAGCTTGCTTCGTCTTGGTGGAGCCCGCTCGGCAAGCTGAGGTGGCGCCGATAAGATCACTGGTGACTGGGGGGCGCGGGCCTTGGACGCCTGGGAGCTTCCCAGTGTGCCATTATCGGTCTCAGTGTCAGCTTGGGCGCTAGCAGTCACGCATTGTGGCAGTGACATCACATGACTGCCCGCACTCCAACCTGAAGGTACGAGGTACCTCACCTTCATCCAATGCGTCTGTCCTGGGCATCTCATGGCAGAATGGATTTATGCGATGGTACATATCAAGACGAGAACTGAAGAAAGCATCTCAAACTCCAATTCAATTCTCAAGAAACTCAAGACTACGCTGTCGCCGCTTCACGAGATCTGGCGCCCAAAACGGCCTTTCCAACAGTGCTATCGTTGGCCTTGCTCAACTCGCCCGTGATCCAAGCACCGATATCCGACATGGCATCCAGATCAATACCAGTGTCCATACCCAGGCTCTCAATAAAGTAAATCATGTTTTCCGTAGCCACATTGCCAGTCGCACCGGGGCTGTAAGGGCATCCTCCAAGACCGCCAACACTGCTGTCAAACGTGCGGATGCCATGTTCCAAAGACACAGCCGTGTTAACTAGAGCCTGGCCGTACGTGTCGTGGAAGTGCATCGCGATATCCTCGTTGCGGATTCCCGCAGCCCTCATGCAGTTCAACAGCTCCTTGGTCCGGGGAGCGGTTCCCATGCCGGTGGTGTCGCCCAGGGACACCTCGTCGGCGCCTGACTCCAGCAGTTCCGTCGAGATCTCGGCGACCTTGTGCGGGTCAACGTCGTACCCCTCAAAGGGGCAGCCGAGGACCACAGAGACGTATGCGCGAACGCGGAGGCCGGCCGCCTTTGACTCGCGAATGACCTCGCGGAAGCGGTCTAGTGACGTCGCAATATCGCAGTTGAGGTTCTTCTTCGAGAAAGATTCGGTCGCTGCCGCGAAAACGGCAACTTCGACGGCGGGGGTCGAAGCATCAGTTGAGGGCTGGAGTTGTGATGCGAATGCGCCGGGGTATTTGGCCAGCAGCGCCTGGGCGTTCTGCAGACCCTTGATATTCGGTGCGAGGAATGAGTATGATGTTTGAGCTGGAGAGGAGACCTTTCGGGTGAGGAGGTGCTCGAGAATTTCGCTTGAATTGGCCATCTGTACCCGTTCAACCGTCAGTAACACTGATCCCAAGATTCATCAGGCCACTTGGGTAAGCTTACCTGGGGAACCCATTTCGGCGAGACAAAGGAGCCGCCTTCAATTGTAGACACACCAGTCTTGGCGAGCCTCTCAATCAGCTCGATCTTGGTCGCAAGGGGTATCGTCTTCTTCTCGTTCTGGAGGCCATCGCGAGGACCGACCTCGACGAGCTTCACATAGTTGTCGCGGGGCGGCTGCTGGATGGGACCACTGGCGGTTGCGAACGCTCTCGCCGGGCGGATCTGAGCCTTTCGGCACGCCCTACAGATTGATGGGCGCAGGGCAAGCATTTCGAAGTTGAATTGATTGAGGAATGGCAACGAGGGGTCGATCGGCAAGTTACAGAGGCCTTGGAGAAGAGCTGGGGCATGGGGAGCTTGGCCGCATATCGTCGGCTTCCACAATGCCTCGGCCATTGACGAGTGGGACCGCCTGGCGGCAGCTGGTCACCCAATCGTGTTAGTCCAAGGTCTCAAGCGCAACTTCATTCCTACATCTCAGTGGCATAATGTTGTACTGCAGAAGAATACAAACTTCTACTATCTCCCAATTGCCTTCGTTTGTTTCTTAAAGTTTGCCTCGTCTCTCGATATGAATCAAAATGGGAGATTAGACAAGGACCTTTCGCGCTCAAGATTGGCGTACACCATTTAGCCGTGATCCTGAGATGCAACTGGGCGGCACAGCAAGCAGAGTGTAATGTATTGGACTGAGTGCGGTTCCCCCAGGCAGTCTAATAGTCTCATGGTCATTCTAGATGTCTGGGTTTCATTCAATAATTGGGTGCGCGCGTGGCGAGCTGCGCCGTAGGGGGCAACTTACCTCTCGAGGCGTCTTGTAGCAAGCTAGTCATTATACGGGAGCCTTCTCCGAAGCTCTACGTGCATTTTCCTTCTTCTCATGCTTCAAACCTCCGCGCCCACGATGAAACGATTCAACACTTCAGGAAAGGGGACTTTCCTGCCTCTCCTCGTCCTCTTCACGTGGCTCATGCCTCAACTTGTCTCGGGACAGACAGCGATACAGACGCAGTCGGTGCCCGGTATCCTGCCCACATTGGCCGGGCCATCCAAACCGCGGATCACCCCTTGGGACGAGGAGTGTACCACCAGAGGCCTAATAAGGTCATGGATGTAAGATGTCTCCCAACTTCCTCAGTCATCAAGAGCGAGTGACTAACAAAGCTACACAGACTCTACTCCTCTTGCACAAACTCCGTCCTGCTGGACCAGTTCTGGTCGGAAAGCTGCGCACCGTACAAAACCCGAACCCTCAAGGACAACGATGCATCGGACGCCGTCGGAGTCTTGACCGATTGCTTATGTCAAGCACATCAGAGTATCGCGCGGTGAGTATTGCTCCCATTCTTCGACTTTATACGATGTGTAGCGAAGTAGTAGATATACTCATGCCTAAACTAGCGTATGCTTGCGTCTTGTTTGTCCATCCCAGGCAGAAAACCTGTACACCAAGCAACTTCTCGAGGGTGTCTGCCCTGGTGTCTCCGCTGCAGTCAACTTTTCTTATCCGTTCCAGACTTCGGCCACCACAACCGCCGAGGGAACTGCAAAAGCTACTTCGAGGGGCAGCGGTCCCGATGGTGCTGCGGGTGCGTTGAGAGCTCCAGTGGCCTTTCCGTTTATAGCTGTCGCCATTGGCCTGTCTTCGTCCTTGCTATGAAATAATTAGATGCTGCTGGAAGGAGTCGGTTCGATCTAACATCAGCACAATCGTCATGACTTCAATCGCGTTGATTCAGCATTTTTCATCCTTTTATCTTTCAGAAGCACACATTCCACTGCGACTAGCCATAGCGCTACATCTTTTTGACAAGTGACGCCATGTCATAATTCCATGTCAATTTAATTACACGTAGCTTGACTCATCTACTCAGATCTCAACATGTCGCACCGTAGATGAGAACGTAAACATCTCTTTCCGCGATCCAAAGAACACCCACATCGTGCTCATTTTGGCGACTGCAGAGTCTTCACTTCTGAATACTATCCAATTCTGAATTGTTCTGCCATGTAATTGGCCTCTAAAAAGATCATTTCGAAAACGTTCATGCCTACTTCACCATCATCGTTGAATCGGGTCTTCTGTGTTGCTGGTCGAGCAGTAAGAGCAAGGCAAGTCATGTGGGGCGATGCTTTCAGACTCCATATGAGCTCCCTCATGATACCCTAATCGACACTGACTAAGACCGTTGTCCACCTTACAGCGAGGCTGCTGCCGAGGAATCTTGACCTTCAACCTCTGGACGGGCTGTAACTACCTCTCCATAACTGGGTTACAGACTGAGTTGGGAAGACAATTGGCCTCGAGGATGATGAAATATCTCAAACAACAGGGCTCAGTTGACAATCAGTATCAAGTATATACTGGTCCATAACTCATTGATGCAATTCAGACTCGTCGTGTTATAATACCATTTAATACTCATGCTCTGCCGCCGCCCCTTGCCATGATAGAATGTCGACCAGCGGTTGAGGATATGGGCAATGTTCTTGGCTCCATGGGCAGTCATAGTGTGTTACGTGTGTCTTCTGCTGCTTGGCTATGCTACTGGTGACGGGGTCCAGGCTGTAAGAGGAAGAATACAACCGTTTCCAACGTCGTTCCAGGTGAGGTAGACGATATTCGCCGGTTTTCTGATTGCCGGACGTAAGATGCTAGAAGAGTCCTTCAGTAAACTGTAGGGCTCACTTCCTCCTGTGTCTCTGTAGATGTGAGATATGGCTATTGATCAAGGCAATATTCACCACGAAGGCTAATCCAGACTGACCAGATTCCAACAAAAGCCTTTATGAAACCTCCCCACCCACTGTTCTGGCATCGGCCTCCCAGTCTTCCTGTCATCTGAGAGCCCATGGAAGACACACAACACTTTGGGGGCAGCTAGGTATCCCAATTTTGGATACCTGGCTGGTCACTTGCTTCCGCTTCAAAGTCTGGCATCTACTTCCCGCAGGAGACAGGAGCAACACCGGCACTTCTTCGTCCGGGAAGTGAAATCACTCTCATACCTGGACGAGCGCTCCAGCGTGAGGTACCTGAAGAAAGATACCCTCCATGTTCAGGTACCTACTCTTCCGGGTTCCTCAGAATTCGGTTCTTAGTGTGTTTAACACAGTGTACAAGACTACTTCCGCTCCATCGCCACCTTCTTGCTTACATAGCCACAGTGTAACAGTGTGGGCCAACATGGTGTGCAGATTCTTCTTGCTATCTCCGATGAATGAAGAGGCCCTAGCTTCCACACTCCTCTTCAGGTTGCCTCTCATAGACGATATGAGGAGATTTTTTTGGTGCGACGCTTCAAACGACGTAGAACTGTCAGGAAAGGACGTAGAAAGTTGCGATAAACGAGACCAGCGAAATTAGAAGTAAGGTACGGCAGTAGGCGAAAAGCAGTTGAACCAGGCATTTGGTGCATCTGTCAGGCGGCGTAGTGGGCATGTCATTGGCTGCCCCAGTGCGACGGCTGGCCTTATGGGTGTTTCGTGGGGCGGATCTTCAGGCACAGCGCACCCAATTGACGCAGCCTAAACCTTATTTTCGCTGCCCCAGGCGACCACTCGACGACACTCTATTGACTTTTCACTTACACGGCTCATTTACACGGACCACTTACACCGACTTACACGGTTGAAAACCGGACGTTCGTCTGCCTCTGCTGAGCCGCACAGTAGGACCAACGCAGAAGCGAACACATTCAAAGTCCGGTTAAGTGTCAGTGCTGATGGCTTGGTCAACTGGACATCAAGCTCTTCAGTCCATCTGCCTCTCACCCAGGATTCCGTGGAACTATCTGTAAGAAAAGGAAACATGAAGTGGCCTCGGCAACTCCGTGTCTAGGTCATTCAGGTCTAAAGTACCATGACATGTCTAAGGATTGTACGATGGAAGACTTCATGGACGGCCAATTGGTAACTAGAGTAGTTTGTACTCTTGGTCTTTACGTCTGGCAGCCCGGAGCGGCTGCGCCGCCATCCATGGAAAGACAGTGACTCCAGCCGTCAATGGTCTAAAGAGGTGTGAGCAAGCCGGATGCTCATTGCCTCGACCACCGCCCACTTTTTTAGGATTGATATGAACGAATGGTCTTGAAACTGGTATCATGACGAATAAAAGTGCAATGAATCTCGTTCAAGTTGGCAGAACAGAGGTTTTATTGATATCGTTGCGTTTCAGCATCCAGAAATGGCATCTCTATACAAACAAGAAACATATCCAATGCTCTGAAGTCGTCAACACCTCCCTTAATGAACCGCAATGTCCGTAATCCTCAAGCTCTCGAATCCTCAAGCCCTCACATCCTCAACTCTCTCTATCTCCGCGTCAATTGCTCTACTCGCCACCAGACTCCTCAGACCGTGCCCAATCCTCTCTTACCATTCTTCGGTACCTCGAGTGATTTATGCCCAGAATACTTACCTGGACAGACATGTCTTCGAGTTACCGCTCCCACTCCGAACTATGTTTCTTGTGCCTGGACGCCCGGGCATTTTCCTCTAGAATCCAGTCGCAGAGTGGCTGCTTTACGCTCCTCACCCCCTCTACTTGCCGTCATTTTGCTTCTTGGACGTGTACATTAGCCAAAAAAGCATCGTCGGAGATACAATCTCTTCAACTTATGTCTTCCCGGAGTGTGGGAGTATCGTGAACCTCTGTAGCTTCTGCTTCTTCCTGTCTCCTATAAAGTGCCAAGCATCCCTCTGGCTTGTGGTTGTCAGCTTCTCTAGTCTTCATCACACTACAGTTCATCTGGCATACATTCATCAATCCAATTGAACTACAACTCCTCTCATCATATACTCATTGCAACCAACAAACACGATGAATAACCAGGACTACCAGATGAACAACCAGGACTACCAGATGAATAACCAGCAGATGAATTACCGGCAGATGATTTACCAGCAGATTTGCCAGCAGATTTACCAGCAGATGAATCCCGAGTACTACGGGATCAATGAGCAATGGTCCGAAGCTTATAGCGGGGTCGTGCCTGTTAACCACGACGGCCAAAACATTGATGGGGAGAGCGAGATTACCCAGAACCAACTCGACGAGGTGTTCTCCGACCTAACTTCTTCGATGCCACAAGGTTCGGAAAGCACTGTCACCTCTGATGTCGTCCAAGGCGCCGGAGTATTCGACAATGCAGCTCACCAGGCCGGGGGCATGGACGCCAGCAACAGCGGTGAAAATTACATCCAACCGCACATGCTACATTTGAATGGCTCTGCTCCTCTCCCCGCTCCTGTCCCTGTCCCTTCTGCGCCCTTCTTCGCGCCCGAAGTTCCCGCCGCCGGCAACCTATTCGCTCAGGAGTTCGACGAAGATGCCGGCGACGACAACGTCGTTGGGGACGTCCTCGGCCCGAACAATCAGGACGCAAGAGTCCAGAAAAGAGGCAAGGGCAAGGGCAAAGCCAAAGCCAAAGCCCCGCGCAAGGCAAAGGAGGCCACGCCAGACAAGCCCGCTCGCGCCGTCAGGGCCTTCTCCTGCAAGTCGTGCCGCAGGAAGAAGACAAAGTGCGACGGGAGCCCCGGCACCGCCTGTTCCAAGTGCCAAAAGAGCGGAACGGCGTGCGAGATTGACGGGAGAGATGGCCGCACCAACAAGACCACCATCGACAAGTACGAGAGCCTTCGCGTTGCCCTCAACGCCCATCTCGTCAGGCTCGCGCAGATCTGCCACCACTTCTGTCAGAAGCGTTACGGGCCCGAAGAACGTAGCGAACTCGCGGGCGGAGCCGTTGCAACTCTTGAAAGGCACCGCTTTAAGGGCATCCCGATCGAGCCCTGGCGAATTCAGGACATCCTGCGTCCAAGTGATCCTTCGACGTACCAGCTTCCGGGGTACCGAAGTCGCTTGGTACAAGTCGGTCAGCAGGCCAAGCAAATGACGATCACCCTGGCTAAGCTCATAGAGATGCTCACGCAAAAAGACATGGAGCTGCTCACGCAAGAAGACATAGAGACGCTTACGCAAAAAGACATAGAGATGCTCACGCAACAAGACGACGGCCGCTGGCGTGCAGGCTGCCGCTTGACCGCCGAACTATTCGACAGCAACCCGGAATTCCCCAGTTTCGACGCCAAGATCAACGCTGTGTTCTTCACAGACATGCAAAACTACATCTACGGGATCCTGGCAAATGAGGTCGATGAGATCATTGCCCGACACCTTTAAGCGAAGGAAGGTCTTGGGAACGGGGAGTCTGTGGGTGTGGAATTCTCTGGTATGAGGACTGGAGAGAGAAGACCGCTCCCGAAAGAAGGGAGGGCAGTGACGGCATGAATGCCCGGTGCAAAAAAGGCACCATGCTTTCGGGAGCATTATCTGGAGTTTGGATTCTCCTTGGGTAATATACCCGGTGCAATAAGACACCACGAGTTGGAGGGCGTTGAAAGGAGTTCTGGTCTTGGGTTCTCGGCCGCTTGGTTCTACTCTACTTCGTTCGTTCGGGTTTATATACTCAATATAAACCCATTAAAAAAACAAATGGTCCTCGGTGCACTAACACGCTTTCCCGCTAATACAGGATGAATCCTATCCCCCACTATTGTCGGCCTTCTTGTCGTGATGTGACTGAGTGTCATAGCTAGCCTCAGGCCTATCTATTGTGCTGCTTCTCCTGTTCAGCCGCCCACTTGGCGGATTATTGATTCTCAGAGGCTCAAAAATGAGGCTTCCCTGACGTCGTGTGAATGGCAGGCCTACCATGTGTCTGGAAGATCTGGCGCGTTTATGCTGCTTGGTATGGCACTGAAGAACTTGCGTGAATGAGAGGGGAGAAATATTTAGGAAAACCGTTCGCAGTAATGAGAAGCGATCAAGAGCGAGAGTGGAAGGCAAGAACAATTCCAGAGTCATATACAAAATGAGGCCGCGTACTCCGAAAGCTTGAGGACGAGTAAGAATGGAGATGGTGCAAACCGCCTACATCTATCTCCTCTCTCCAAGTCAGCTACTACTTGAAGCAGACTTATGGAGTTATGCGCCTCTCTTGGAGAGAATGGTTCACATAAACTATAGCTCGTTGCATCACCAACTGAGGCGTCGTAGAACTAGGAGAAAGGGGGCGGATGAATGCAATAGCACTAGTGACTTGGTCTGGATATCTATGATTGTCATCAATACGTGTGAACACTACTTCGGGGCAGGTTGTAGACCGCATCTTTCCTGGCCTAGAACTCACCTCGCTTCCCCACAGCCAGTGTGTATCAACTTTCTCCATCACATTCATCCGACCTCATCCAAGAGTCATTCGACATCCAAAACTCATCACACCAACTCCACTAGACCAAAATCTTAGCCTCACTCTTCGGGCCCCTCTCCCCAAAAATCGTACTTCCCACCCGAACCTCCCCACTACCCAGCTTCACCGCGCCTTCAAAGTCCTCGCTCATACCCATACTCAGCTCCAGCTCCCTCTGCAAGCCCAGCTCCTTGACAACCAGATCCCGCTGCTCCTTGAGGCACACAAAGTCCTCGTTCTCGTTTTCGGGCGTCGTCGCCTTGCTCCGCGCGATGGCGCCAATGGTCATCAGGCCGAGCAGCTTGAGCGCGGGCGACTCCTCCTCAACGGCGCGGCAGAGCGCGACCGTATCCGGGCCCGGCTCGGCGCCGGACTTGGACTCCTCGCCCGAGGTGTTGACCTGCACGTGCACGCCGAGCGGCTCCACGGGGTTGCTGCTGTCGCCTGATGACGAGGAGATGAGCTCCGCGCGCGAGGCGTTGAGGAGCTGGACCTTCTTAAGGGTATCTACACTGGAGACGCAGAAGAGATTTGGGATCTTGGCCAGCTTCTTTGCATGTGCTGTTGGATAAGCGTCAGCCATTTAAGAACTACGCAGGGGAGGGCGTGGAGCGCTTGACGAGTCTTTGAGGAAACACTTACTTGACTGCAAACCACCGATAAAGTGCCACTGAATACTCCTGGGTAGCATCTCCGCCTTCTGGCCCAGCTCCTGTGCGTAGTTCTCGCCGAAATGCACCTGCGGCGGCGTGGTCTGTTGGTGCAACGCCAGGATATCGTTGGCTGGCTTCAGCTTTGAGACTGCCACTAACCGAACCTATTGTCACTGAATCAGCATCTATCTCGCACAAAACATACTCCACATCGTTGTGAAGAGAGGTTCTCCCTGATACCCCAACAGTGTTTCCAGGAAGTATCCAGAGTGACGACTCACATTTCGCCCCGCAGCGACGGCGGTCACGCGCTCCTGGACAGACTGAAGCTGCGAAACCAGAGCCTTTGCTCTCGAGGGATCAATCTTCATCTCTGGTTGGGCGTCGGTCATTGCAGGGTTTGCCGGGGTCGTCGTATCGATGAGCAAGGGTTTTGTGGATGAGACAGCGAGTGAGTGAGACGAGGGTACGGATTTTTTGGCTGTGAAAGTTGAGGTGAGGTTGAATCGCAGAGTCATTGAACTTCCAGCGTCTTCGGAGATGGGCCATAGCTGCGCTAACAAATATGGGGCTAGCCATCTGCGCAACAGAGTGCGGAGTAATGGAGATGAAGTTAGAGTCTACTCTCCTGTCTTAGACTCAATGAACAACCCTGATTGTCTTTTATTCCTTAAAGATTTCTTCACTGTCACGAAGTTAGCTAACTCGAGTGAACTATTTGATCTGAACCATCCTTCGAAAACTTCCATTTGAAAAATTGGTTGCTCCTTGAAGTACACTGAGACTGAAGCGCGGCGACGTCAGAGGCATGTCTTCGCAGGTGAGATTAACCAACTTCTAAAATGCACCGCTGTGATGATCATTAGGAACTGAATTCTGGTGGGCTTCTATGATATCTTAGATGATCGCAGTCATATTGTCGACCAAGGTCTTTACTTCGCAAACCTAGGGTTAAATACTATACGAAAACTCTTGGTCTTCCCAAGTCATTCTATTGTGAGGCCAGACAACTGTCACTTCTTTATACTATATTAGCTGGCGGAGCTTGACAACAAGAAGGAATTAAGTTACTATTAATGACTAAGATATCTTGAAACTTTTATTAGTTGGCTGCTACCCCCCGCATCCATCTAGCTCCTCTCACAGGTCGCCGCTGCTGTCATCTCGAAGGTGAAATCCCTGTCCGCACCCCTTATACAAAGAACCACCATGTCTCGCCGTATTAGTTCAAGCTCTCTGAGATCCCGAAAGTTCTGATCGGCCCCTTGAGTTCGTCGCCGACACCTCTTGAGGCTCCCGGACACCAGACAGCTCCGTCCTCGGATTCTGGTACTCGTCCACAGGCGACGGGTACGACGGCGGAGGAGTCTGCCGCCTGCTGATCGGACTCACATTACTGGTCTGATGCGACAGTTGACGTGCCGGCGGCACCACGAACATGTGGTCGCCGGACGAGTTTGGGCTGGCGTATGCCGAATCGTGGCGCATTTGCTGGTGTACAACGGGATGGAGCGTCGGCGTAGGATGACGAGCCTGGTTTCCCGTGTTTGCAGCATAGGCCGGCCGGTTGCGCCGGCGCAGGAACCAGAAACAGAGAGCCGCTGCAAGGAGGGCCCCGACCGCTGCGCATCCTACGGCGATGCCGGCCACGGCGCCGGTGGAGAGGCTCGGTGAGCCCGCTGAAGGGACGGCCGACTCCGTCGCTGGCTCGGATGTTGCGTTCGCTTTGACGACGAAGCCGCGACTTTGCAGTGCGTTACCAATGAAGCCCGCAGGCGCATCAGTCTGGGTATAATTGCCGGTTGGGTCGATGAGTCTGAGAGCGAAGTTTGGGTTTGTGGCTATGGTCTCCTCCGTGATGCCATCTTTTTCTCCAATGTACCAGGTGTAATACCCATTGTTTCTATCATTGGCTTCGCAAAGTGTTGGTTAACATTGTCATGCTGGAGCACCTTGCAATATTGTCGATCTTACTGATGAAAGACGCGACAGCTATGCCGGCATCCTGACCCCAGTGCACCAGACTCAGAGAGATCCATGGCACAGTTGGGACCTCCCATGTGATGTGAACCTTTTGTCCAAGCACATAAGTGCTGTTGAGATCCGGGACCGTCACACGGCCACCACTTCGGTCAAGTTCGAAACTTGGCGGTTCGGTGAAGTAGGCAGCTTGGACGGGTAGTATCGTGAAAGAAAATATTCCAAACAGCGCTCGGCTGAGCGAAAGCTGGCAGAGACACAACATAACGAGAGATGAAGAAAATAGCAACAGAACTTGGCAGGATCTGGCAGAGGAAACACACGCCTCATGATATGCATTTTTTTACCAACGATTACTGTGCCGTTTGCTCAGGGGACTTTGGGGTTTCGCGACTCATCTCGAGTCTGCCTTGACTAGGCCTGATTGAGGCATCATTCCTGAGACGCATGTACTTTAGCAAGGGTGCTAGAAAGAACGTTGCAATGAAATGAATGCCTCTTAGGCTAATTGAATGGTTGGTAGACACGATGCTGGCTGAGAATAGGTACGCTGTGCCGCTGGGCTACAGCAATACGAACGCGCCAGCCAAGACTTCGTGTAGTCGAGGTCGCGAAGAGTCTTTAGGGAGTGTATTTGCACGTGGCTGACTCATTTGAAGAATACCGCAATGCTCATTACGTTTTCAGGGAGAATCTTGGCATGAGAATAAGCATTGGATGGATGAAGCATCGTGATGGCTACCTTACAGTATTGAAGATGGCAGCAGACGAATGAGACAGTTTGGCCCCGCCACAAGCTCTAGCCACTTTGTTATCGCTATCGGATAAGGTACCTACCTACGAGTAGCGCTTATCTTATCGTCCACATTAGCATCCTTGCTTCACGTAAAGTTACGCGTTCAGAAATTCCAGGGGGGATCGGAGGGTGGGATGACGGGATGTCATTTTGCACGGCATGTTGGTTGGCTGATACCTGCCGTGCTGCTGTTGCCTTCAGGTTCCCCCTTGCTGTGCCTTATGCCGTGTGCCGACCGTGTCTTCGTCAGCTCCCCAATCCCGAGCGAAAGATAGGAAAGGGAAAAAAAAAGGGATGAAGGAGGAGGAGCATTGAATTGACGACGAACCTTCAATCACGATTGTCGCGTGTTCTTCACCTTTCGCCTCTCACACGGGCAGCTCCCTAGCCCTTTCTGACAGCTAAACTTTTTCGCCTTTCGCTTAGGGTAGATTTCTCTTCTTCAACCGCTTTCGCACTTTTCTTTCCTTATCGTAGTTTCGATCGATTTGATCTCCATCCTCTCATTTATCAAGCCAGGTGTCTGTTCTTCGGCTTGGCTTGGTGTTGGAGCTCCCTGTCCACATGTCATACCCTTGAGCTCGACCATTACGAATCGAATCGACTCGAATCGACTTGACTCGACTCGACTCCATCGACCCACGATAACCTCAATTGATCCATCCCACTCGGCCTACGGCCCTCCAAGGCCCCGAATCCCCGAATCCTCATCGTCGATTACGCCTAGCTCGCCCATCATGCCTAAGCAACACATGATATTTGGGCGGCCGCTCCCCCGCATCGGCACAAGACGCATCTCCTTCCTCCTCGTCAGCATCTCCATCTTCGCCGTCTTCTCCCTCATCTTCACCCTCCCGAGCGCCATCCCAGCTGGCCCGAGCCTATCAAAGTACACCGACCACAAGTTCTCGATACCCTCAGCCTTGAAGAACCCATTTGGCGCCTCGAGCCGATTGAACCCTTTCAAGTCTCCATCACACCCGCCCCCACGTCAACAAAATGATACGTACGGCGAGTCCTCCTGGTGGGCGGATTGGAAGTGGCTCTCTGTGCCCTTCTCTTCCTCGTTGACCCTCGACGAGGAGCGCTCCCTACTGCCTCCCCTCAAGCCTCGCCCCGCCATCTACTGCTACTACGATACCACCATCAAGAAGGACGCCGCAAGCAAGGATGCCGAGAGCGAGCTCCTTCTCCTCTGGCGCCGCGCATGGTGGGCCCGCGGTTTCAAGCCCATCATCCTCAGTGCTGCTGAGGCTATGAAGAACCCGCTCTACGACGAGCTTCAGCGCAAAGAGATGGACGCTGAACTCAAGACCGACCTGATGCGCTGGCTGGCCTGGGACAACATGCGCGGTGGCTTGCTCGCCTACCACACCACCCTGCCCATGGGCTCCCACGAGGATCCCCTCCTCTCTTACCTTCGCCGTGGCGAGTACCCAGAGCTCACCCGCTGGAACAACTTGAACAACGGTCTCTTTGCCGGCGGCGAGAAGGAGGTTACGAACGCCATCAAGGCTACCATGGCCGGCTCCAAGCTCAAGGAGGCCAAGGACTTCATCGCTGCTGCCACCGAAGACACCTTCAAGATTGACAACTACCCCAAGGCAATTGCCTACTATGACGTTGCGGTTATCCAGGACAAGTACCCCAAGGTCGGCGAGGCCATCGCCGCAGACCGTGCCGGCGGCCTCAAGGCCCTCAAGAACCTCATCAACGGCCACCTGCACACGACTTGGCAGAACGTCTTCTCAGACGGCATCGCCGTCCTCAAGCCTCTGCCACAGCACATGACGAACCTGATCAAGAACGCCTGGGACCTCGCCGGCGACCTCTCCATGTGCCCCGACTCCCCCATGCCGTCCTCCTGTCCGCCCAACAACCCCAAGTGCAAGCCCTGCGTCCCCGCGCAGCCCATGCACGTCTCGACCCCTCCCCGCTACCGCAACACTTCGACCCTCTACACCATCGGCACCGTGCCGCACCCCTACACCACCGCCCTCCTCGCCAACCTCCAGGACACGATCGAGATCCCCTGGCTCCGCCGCAAATCCGAGCGTGACGCCTGGCTCGGCGCCGTAACCACGGAGCTCCTCGGCGTCGGCATCGGCAGCGCCCCGCGCGTTCTCAAGTTCAAGGAGGCCGTGGCCGGCGAGTTCGCGACCGCCCACTCCCTCTGGCTCACGGCCGAAAAGGACCTTCCCAAGGACCTCGACTGGCACTTTGGCTTCGCCATCCCCCACAACGCCACGGACGGCACATCCCAGACCCCCGTCCCCGGCCCCGAGCGCCGCCCGCAGCCCAAGCACGACCCCGCCGACGGACCCATCCCGACCGCCGAGGAGCTCGACAAGGAGAAGCCCCTGCTCAAGAGGGCCCGCGACATGGGCAAGACCAAGGACGCGCGCGAGCTGTCTATCCGTGGGGCCGTCGAGGCGTGGAACCTGGCGGACACCGAGTCGTGGAAGTTTGCGCGTGCGTTCCTGGCTCGCCGTATCGTCGAGCGCAAGGAGTGGGAGGAGAACGAGAGCCAGTACGTCGGCGGCGTCGGTACCGAGAAGGGACGCCGTACGAGTTGGGGTGATCGCTGGATGGATAAGGATAAGAAGCAGTAAGGCTGTTTGGACATCTTCACGAGAAGGGTCAAAAACCGAAACAAAAAGTGGTGATTCTACGTGAAAGAAAACTACTACTCGGAGTGTTGTAGTATAAAACGTCGTGGGAATCGACGTGTGACACTATGTATGACTGTATTCGCGGTGTACTTGCTTTCCCCCAAAGGGTTGTTGTACGGGTCTGGTATGGGGGCATCTGGAGTTTTAGAGAATTATGTTCGTTCCCGTGTAGAGTCCAGAATCAAAGAAACATGGTTAGAAAAAAAAGCAAGCAAAAGATTACGAGAATGACCGAATGGTGTTTGCTTCGACGGTCGTGACATTCGCGGTTATCAAGACATTTGGTTGTAGGAATGATATTTATAACGGCTACCTCACCATGTCTTCCACCAACACCCTCTGTTTTTTGTGCTCCCATTCTATTTTCTACGATTCTCAACTCCGCCATCTCATCTCGTCTTCAGGTTCCAATCTGGACCTCTTATTTGCATCGTACTTGTATCTAGAAGAAAAAGCGAGATGTTGAATATCGCATGAAACAAAAGTAGGAAAAAACAACGCGAAAAAAGAGAGTGCGAAGAAGACAAGTTGAGTTGCCCCTCCTACACGTCACGGGCCAAGCCAAAGCCGCCTCCCCATCACCGTTTTGATTTCAAGAAAAACGCATACGGATAGATGGATGGAATGCAAAAACAAGAGCCCGATCCCTTTACGCAGAGCGCGTGTCGCCGCCCAACTCGCCTCCCAGCTCCCTGGCACTAGCGCCGTTACGACCGGCCTTGGAACCATTGACACCGTTCTTGGCCGTCTGCAGATGCTGTTGCTGCTGGGTTCCGTTGCTGTTGCCGGTGGTGGACTCGGTGTAGCTCCTCAGGGCAGAGCGGGCTGCCTCGACGACGCGCTCGGCGGCCTTCAGGGCATCTCTCAGCGCCTGGGCCGTGGGGTCGTCGTTCTCAGAGCGAGCCCCTGAGTCGCGCTCCTCAAGGAGCTCGCGGATGTGGCCGTTGAGCCAGAGACCCTCCAGCTGGGCGCGGGACATGTCGCGTGCGCCGCCGATCTTGCCACGGCACGAGGGGGTGCCGCAGAAGCAATCGAATGGCTGGGCCATGTGCCATTCCGTGGAGGGGTAGAAGAACTAGGTGACACACGACGTTAATGGATGTTTCTCCCGACTGCCTTCTCTCTCCAAGCCTCAAAGAGGGTAGCCCCCCTCCCCAGCCTAAAGGTTGCCCGGAGTCAGTGGGTGAAATGTGATAACTCACCGTCAGTTCATCGCCGGGCTGAAGTCCTTTCGGCCCAGCCAGAACATTAAAGTTGCCCGTGTCAAAAATCTATTAATAGCACCTGTCAATCTCACGTCTTCCAGGATGTCCTTGTCCCCGACCCGGGGTAGGTTCTGGGGGAACTTGGAAGTAGACGTTTGTGCATTCTTAGCGGCATGACTAACAAGAGACGGTTCGCACGAGTGGTTAATGTACAGCAAGTCACTGTTGAGGTTCAAGTGCTTAGCCTTGCCGCACTGAACGGTGGCATACGTTGGCTCATCGGCCAGATCGCACGGTGGGAAAGACATCTTTGCGTAAACCGCAAAGGGCGGCAGAGAGACCTTGGAGAAGCTCTTGGTGAGAAACTCTGTCTCGCTCGCCTTGACGACATCCTGGATGTCCGGGTGGGACGGCTGGGTCCAATGGGGCGTAAGTGGTGCCATTGTAAGAATTTCCGGGTTGAGGTTGGCGGTGTCGCGGTCGTCGTCGTCGTCGTCGTCGTCTCGTCTAAATCCTGGAACAGGGTGTGGTTGGACTCGTTCCTTTTCGCTGGGTCAGCTTGCTGTCACATGTTGAAAGTGGAAGGGAGTTAGACCAACGTGGGGCAGGATCCGAATTGTGGGAATTGAACAGGAAATGAGAAAGGGTTCTTTCGTTAGAGTTGATGTTTAGTACAGATAATACAGGCAAAAGGGTTTAGTATTTGGAAGGTATGGATGAAAGACGGGAGGTGACGGGAGGTTAGAGAAGAGGGAGAACAGAGTTCAGGCCGAACAGACCATATGGAATACCCTCATCTCTTGTACAAGAGGAGGGGTAAACTATCTGACATCAACATGTGCCGAGCTGTTCCACGGGTGTCCTAGGTTGTCCAAGATTGTCCAAGGTTTCACAGGCGGTTGTCTAGCTGCTGTAGCCAGTCGGGGAGCTCAACTGTCTCTGGATCGCTCATATTGTCGCCCGCCTCACATGCATTTCCTTTTGTGCATTCCAATTGCGGGGGACCGTCGTTCCGCAATGCTCCTGCAGGCAAGGGTTGCGGGGCAATGGATGGACGATGAGAGAAGCCAATTCAGCAAGTGCATATTCATAGGTAACACTTGTGAAATCCCGTCCAAACAATGCAGGCCGTCCCCGGCGCCCGTCCGGTTGTTGCGGTAAAAGAGAGGCTCATCCACCGCCTGACCAATGGCTGGAGGTTCGCCGACGAATCCGGTCAAAGACGGTCCATCCTGAGCCCCTGACGGTGCAGAAAGAGTGCGGAATACATGGATCGGCTAGTCTACGACTAGTCTAGCTGCAAGTCATGATACAGGGCCGGTACGGGGTGGCTTGGAGGGTTGGGGGTTCACCGTTCGTCTCTCCCTCCCAACTCTGCATGATGAGGTTGAGGGTGCCACGGGTGCTCCGAGTACCCCTCATTTGCGCGACTCTGCCCCTCTTTTGACAGACAAGTCGACGACTTTCTGGCGAAAACAAGTCCAAGCTCTGGCACTCTAGGAATCTTCGAATGGGTTCCAGTGTGGGGGGTTTGGGGGGATTTTTCGTTCCGGCCTGCCACAGCCGGCCCAGCCCCTAGTATTGTCCTCCTTGTTCCTCGGTGCTTTCGCCCGATGACCGAGGCTGAAGCGTGGGCATCGTCGATGGGTGAGTTGAGGTACGCAATGCGGCGTTCCGCACGCTGTACGCCAGAACACAGCAACTGTATGGATACTTGTTTGTTCCCGCAAATGTGTTGTTTTGTGCTCTGGGAACGCTGAACCCAAGTCGCCGTACACTTGGTTGTAACATCTTATTCGTGGAGATCTGGGCTGTTTTTGACTTTGTCTGACCGTTGATGTCACTCCCGCATGTCCGTTCGTTTACACGTACTGCAATCTTCTGGTCTTGGGTGTCTTTAGTCCCCCAATAACAAGACAAGCTTTTGAATCCAGGGTGTCCAATCCTGTCCGGTCGACATCGTGTTCTCGTCGGTTGGAAAGCTCCGTGGGGGGCAGTTTGGCGGTGCAAGAAGTGCAGCTTCAAAGTCTCAGCTCAAGCCGCAGTGACCTTCTGGTTCCCTATTTGCTGTCGACACTCTTCTCAATTCTCTCGGTAATGGTTCCAAAGGCATAAATTCGAATGCTTTTCAACTGCGACTTTGTAAGCAATCTCGATGGATTGAAGGCCCATACCAGGGGTTAAACGCCAAACACATGCGACGGTTGCAAACGTCCGTTGCTCGGGCCGTCCTGACATCCCGCGCTCGCATGCTTCAATGGCACGGCCGCTTCTTGTTGATCAGCCACAATCATCAGACCGCAGCTTGTTTTTCTCCAAATTGGGCTGATGTCATGCAGAAGAGGAGCTCTTCTTGTGCCACAGATCAGATGGTGTGATCGGTTTTGAGGCTGCAATAGGAAATTTCACATTCCTGAAGATGCACAGAGATGAGGGCGGGACGTGACAGCCATGATCGGGAGGCCTGCGACGCTCACGGGCGGCCTGTGGCCGGGCCTAGCTACCGGAACGGGGCCGCGGGTTGTGGCTCTCGGACCAACTTCCGGATCCAAGACCCGCCGCATCGGTTCTGGTCCTACTACAGCAAGGGACACGCGATATTCCACCCTTTGCTTTACACAACGCAACCCCAGACGAGTCTCGAACAAAGGGTGGCCCCGGTTCCATCTTGCTTCCTCCAAACCTCAAGCTATGTGAGCCCATGTCTTCTTGTTGAGGCAGTTGTCATCCATTCCACGGGCCGCTCAGTCCCAGCTAGGACCCCTGTCACCGTTTTCACGACCCTGTCGTTTCAGGACGCAAAAGCTTGGTGACAAGCTCCAGTCGAGGGGCAGCGATGGCGACCAAGAAGGCTCAGCGTTGCGGGAAACAACCTGTAAAAGCCGTACAATCCTGACCAATGTCCGGAACTGCCCTCCGTTCTTCGAGAACTTCCCTGTCCAAGCCCAATGTGCGAGGACCCCGCACAAGTCGATCTGCCGCTCACCGAACGAACCCAACCAACCTTGACGGCTAGGCCGGGACGTTTTCCCTGGATGCCCTTGTTGAGCAGGAATCTTGCCGACCTGTGTGTCGCTGGCGATAGGAGGACCACGGAGATAGCACACGCGCAGCCTCAATACGCGGCAACACTCACGCCGACACGCCACCCGGACTGCCCTGAATGTCTTGTGTTCCGCGGTCTCCCAATATTCGGTCTCGTGTTTTGTCATCGTCGTCAGCTGGACGGGCCAAGCAGGGTTTGTATCCCTGCCCCTGCCCATGATTTTCCGTGATAATTCCCTGGTATATAAAAAGAAAGTGTGACAGAGGAGAGCCTGTGCGCCATCGGTAGACTTTAGGACGGGCCTGTCATATCGGCAGAACACTGAGGGGCATCTTGGGAGGCGCCCGTTGCCGCCGCCCGTCGATGTACGTTCTTCTCGTTCTTCCTCCCGTTGATCAAACTATCAAGGGGTTTCATTGCTCAAAGCCACGTGCTCCCCCTTCGGCAAACACTCCTATAGGAGAACGAAGACCATGTACTCATGTCCCTGTCTTTGAGTCACCTGGGAGGTCCTCGAATGGGCTTGCGTGCTCCGCACCCAACCCATCTCGCCGCCCGAGCGTCTTGGGCTCATGAGGGTGGGGCGGGGTGGTAGGTATAGCAAGGCGAGGCAGGCCCCGAAGGAAGCTTTTCGAAAAGATGTAAATTGTCGGGCGTCCGTCCGCTCTCTTCAGTCCTTTCCAGCTCGTCTCTGTCATTGTGATCATTCAGATTTCGTCCCTCTGGACTGCCGACAGTACCATCTTGATTTAAATTCATTGCCTGGTTTGGCCAGCCGTACTCTTCTAGATACACGTTAGCATTCTGAAAACGGTACGAATTGATCGGGAACCCTGAGCAAGAGAACTGTACCACCCTATCCAACACATCGACAGAAAAGATGCGATCGACTTTGAGTGTTTCTCTCCTGGAAGAGAACAACAAGCCGCATCCCAAGCCTCAACCTGACCCTCCAGTCCCTGTCCCCGATAACCCAGATGATCGGCGGCGATCCTGAATATAGAACGACATCCAAACTTTGGATACCAAGGTCGAATATCCAGACATCTTCACCCGTATGAATGATCAGCTCCTGTCTCAACATTCTGGTAGACGACAGTAGTTGCACATAATCGCCGAGGATTTCAGCAACGCGTGCCTTGAGCGGAAAAGGATGGGGACAGTTCCTTCGTCAATCCACCGTCCAAACGGTCTCACAAACTCGTCTTGGGGCTCTGATTTGAGGATCGATTGGGCCTCGCGGTTTTCTTTTTCCCATCGAAAGGGTACCACGGACCTCCATTAGGAGCTTCAGTGGTGGGCATCGAGCCCCCTATAGTATCGCAAAACCATTTCAGATGCCTCAGATTGAGAGGGCCATCGATAGATATGTGGGATAGCAGCGGAGGAGGCTCATTGGAGTTGTGACCGTTTCCTTGGAATGGAGGTTTGGCAGGTTCTTGGGCCTCTGGGAGTGTTGAAGCCTGGCTTCTCTTTCCACGTCAGGAATGCCAGCCAACGTTGTAAAATGTCACCGGACCTGGATAGCAGTCTCTTTTGTTCTGGGAATTGAAGGAGCGATGTTCAGCTTTAATGGGTCAAATGGTTTGAGAGAATTGGGAAGGTGGTAGGAGAGAAAACACGAAGGTACCTTGCCTTAGGCTCGCACATACGACAGGAATCGAGAAGGACAGTGCTGTGTCCCAAAGCAACGTTGTAATACAATGACACTTGTAGCTTCCTCACGTCCACACTTTTGTGCACTGCACGAAACCTACTTCAATGGCACTCATTTCCCGTGATTCATACTGCGCAGGAACCGCCTTTGACTTGGACTTACCGTCAACATACCTTACTTAGTACAGTACAGAACAACAAAGGATATTCTACTGACCAGACAGGAAGTCATTTGGTAGCTTCATAGCAATGAAAGAGTGGTGAAATGTACGAATAGGTAGTGTATGAGTGAAGTCTTCAGGGCGAGAAAAGGGCATCGCCTAAGAGATATGACGTCTGGTTTTCACACCTTATACGATGGGACACAAGGGTCTTCACATCCTCACTCAATCCTTATATGAATTATTGTCGACAGATTCTTGCGGTCTGTGTTATGTGAACTTCATATACCCAAGCTGCCCATGCGAAGGGTTTGACATGTATTAAATTTCACTAAAAGAGCGTTGTTCAGTCTTATGGACTAGAAGATGAGTGAAATTGCTGGGCTTACATTTTGTATTTCTTTCATCTTTTACTAGAAATAGCACCTCTGGGGGGAATTCCTTCCTCAGGTACGGTATCTTGTTTATTGAGAGGCAAAACCGTTCCGCACCTTCCTGCACATTACCACGCACCTGAATGACCGCCTTCCCTCCAACTCATCACTTCTAGACCACTATCTTTCTTGCCTAAGGTAGAACTTGCCTGCCAGAAATTTCTCTTCGCCTTCCAAGTTATTGTTCCGGGACCTTTCCTTCTCCCCAACGCTTCACTTTGCTTCTCTCCTCTCCCCACAACATCACTCGGTCGATCCTCGATCCTCCCTCCATCATACAACACAATCCAAGCTCACCATCGCCAACCCAGCTTCACTTTGCTTTGGTGTCCAACTTTTGGAAGTCTACCGATTCATCTCCAACCCAACCCTTTGTGCAGCACTCGTTTCTGTTGCGTTGGGCGTGCTGAAATCACCCAGCAGATTCTTATATTGCATATCAGCCTTCACAAAGCTTGCCGACCGGCGATTTCGCCTTGTTGACTCTGGTAAGTGTTTTGGTTCACGTCAATATTCCTGTTACTTGGTTTCAGACAATTCTCTTTTTCAAAATTTTCATTGCCCAGACGAGCGAGATTGACGCAATCACGAACTGCCTTGTCACTGTCGACCAACCACTTCCCGAATGCTGTCCACCACCACCTTGAAAAGCGATTCACATGAAATACCTGGACTTTGGAACCAGCGCTTACGGAGAGCTGAGTGGTGGCAATTT